AGAAGAGCTTGTTAAATCTGGGCAAAGGAGTTACAAATGACTGAAAGACCAACATCCAATAAATAATTTGATTAACATTTTCAGGAATAATATAAATAAAAAAATCTTTTCAATGCAATACAATTTTCTAATCACATTCTAATCAATTGAAATTGAATCATTTGTTTTTTTAATACATTATAACAACGATATATGCGCTTCTCTGTTAAAGAAACAAAACACAATGATGACAGATTTTTCGGTTTTGTTTGTAAATTGAACTTAAAAAGTCTTTAGGTACAAATATATATATATATATAATTATTAAACTTAATATATAATACAACACTATACAGGAGAGTAGAAAAATTATAGATTTTGTTTTGCTTTAAGTTGTTGTTTTTGTATTCTTTTTTCCTTAATGTTTCATTCTTTGTATGTTTTGCTGTTACATTTTGTTAATAAGGAACACAATAAACTACCAAAAATACACATATATATTATTAATATTTTATTTAATTATTTTATATATCTATATTTATAAATTGGATATATATGTATTTTATATATCATTTTATTTATTTTGTTTAATATTAATAATTATAATGTAGTAATTAATTAATTCATACACATAACAATAATTGTAATGATAATACAGTTGTTGTTTTTTGTTTTGTTTTTTTTTTGTTATAATAGTATAAAGAATTGTTTAACAATTTGAGAGTAAAGCAAATGCATGATAGATTCGTTTAGAACGAAAAATAATTTCATTAATAAATTTTAGAAAAATAATTAAATTAAAAAATATATATTATATAGTGAGTAATATTGTTATCTATTGTTATGGATGAATGTTTGTTGTTGTTTTTTCTTTCTTTTGTTTAAAAGAGGTTTCATATATATATATTTGGGATAAGTGTGTGTTTTAAGTTTGTTTTCCTTTTTTTCATAACATTGTAATATTATTATTAGTGTAATCAATTTCAAAGCTTTCTTTTTTTGATGTTGTATAATATTTTGTGTATTAATTGAGTGAAATGTCTGTAAAATTAAAATCAATATATTGCACATTCGCTAATGTTTGTAGAAAAAGTATGTAAACATTTTTTGGAAATAAATACACATTTGGAATTTTTGAAAAATACGATCATTGGAATTTTGTTTAATAAATATTGGAATGCCAATTTAAGGATTAAGTATATTTGGTTGCAGAGTTTAAATGTTTCATATTTCCATAACAATCAAAACGACATTTAATTGAACGTAACTGAGGTCCACCATGTAAATCTTTAATGGATATTTTGGAAAGGTGTCAAAAAAATACTGTGCTTTTTAGGTACCGGTTCGGAGTAGATGGATGTGGATAATACCCAAATCGTTTGGGGTGCTTGATCGTATGATCACATACATGTATACGAATAGTTACACGAATTGATGTAGAAAGAACTATGAAAAGTCCTACGAGACGTTGGTCGGTCCACCAAAATATAAAACATATCCCCTCATGTTAACCTATAAATGGTTTTAATAAGGTGAAACAATTTTCAATTCCATTTTCAATTTTTTATGGTAAACCAAAAATTGCGTTTAAATGTTCAACTATTTTGAATGGTTTTTAATTTAATAAATCAAAGAATATTTCTATTCTGACATCTGAAAGAAGAGCCTTTTGATTTTTTAATACGTTTTGTATTGCATTATTTTCTTTTTTTATTTATTTACCTCAAAGAAGGTGAAGGTAAATAAAAATGAGTTGAAGTACCACAACCCAACCAAGCAACGAACCATCCTTTGTGACTCAACATACACACACACATAAACACCAACCCATGTTGGACTACTACTACTATTTGTTGCAGACCAATTAGGCATAGATATGCTGTTGTTGTTGCCGTAGAATGCAAACAAAACTGCATTCGTTTGTTGATATGGGCAATATGAAAGAAGGCCTTAGGCAATATAAAAAGCGATAAAAACATACAAAAAGTTAGCAACAACAAAAGTCTGTTAAATACATCATTTGATTTCAAAGTTCATGGATATTTGGCAAAAGGGGTATTAGCAAAGAAATAATGTCAATTGTTTTCTTTTCATAACAAAATTAAGACAGAAATATTATATTTTAACCCTCTACTCTTGAAAGTGATCAGATTTAAATTGTTTAATTTAATCGTTAATAGGTTACTATGGAAAAAACATCTTCATGCATTAATATTTTTAATGAAATCCTACTTTCTGTATATGCTGATCGAGCATCTTAGAATGTACATTTCCTAACATTTCCGATTTATTATAATAATTTATATCATCAGTCGTAGTATCTGGTTCAAACCTAGACACAAATACTATTTTCATGACACAAATTCTAATTTCATGAGAATATTGTCTTGCTGCTGAAATTTTGTGTTCTTTCAAGAAACTCTACGATTTATCCAGAGGGCCAAAAATACAATTTTCAGGGTTAGCCAATTGCAGCCATACATTCTGAGAGCAAATGGTAAATAGATTATTTAGTTTTTTGATACTGGTTCAGATCTCTGAGGTAAATGAGCTAAATTATCTGATCTTTCTAGAAATTGTTTAACAAACGCTCTTTCGATATCAAACTTGAAAATATATCGTCATGAATTAATATTTTAAATGGTTATCTACTTTCAGAGTATGCCGATCGAAGCTTGTAGCATCTTAGAAAATAATTTCCATTTATTTTTGATTTGATATAGTAATTTATATCATCAGCCGAGGTATCAGGCGGAAACCTAGACACAAAGACCATTCTCATGACAGGGGCCATTGATAATGGTCTTTGGGTAGGTAGTGGAGAATTGCCAGCAACAATCCCGGAAGACGCACCAGATAAAGGAACTGACAACACCTGTGTACTATGACCCGCTAGATAAAGGAACTGACAACTCCTGTGTACTATGAGTAGATTTGGCGGTCTTCTCAAGACTACCGCTATCAATACTCATAGCGTTATGAGGTATTGTTACTTCCATTATATTCTTGCTCGGTTCCGTGGTTGCATGAGACGCGACACGGCCATAGGTATGATCATTAACAGCATAAATTTTACCTATGTTATCTGACACTGTTCGTGACGCAGTATTCCATAGGCTTTACGAATTAAACAGATTGGAAAAATTTCCAAAGCGACAATTGCAAGCTCCGATTGCAAGTCCTTTACAAAATTATAAAAATCAGTAGAAAGTTTTCTACAGTGAACACAGCACCAACGAACGCCAACATTGTCTCTAATAGTATCAACTACTTTCGCGTTGATACGAGCACACTTAACATGCCACTGATTTAAGCAAAACCTACATGTAACGCACAATTCATCTTCGTTCGAAATGTTACAGACAGACCATTGTAAAATAAAATTAAAAAAAGTAGCTGGAATTAGTAATCCTTTGATTTCTACAAAATAAGTATTATCCGTGAATAGTTTTTCAACAAGCATTTGGTCTGTTCCAGAATCAGCAAAATGCTAAATTTTTTACTACGATATTACATAATTTTAATTGATGATATAGGAAACAATAGGAAAAAAAATGGTGGATTCTACGAGAACAGACAAATTATAAAACTATTTTTTCAAATTAACTTTGCCAATTAAATATTTACAGTTTCATATCTTAGATCGATTTTCTGATGGGGAGTACCTTACTGGTTATATGCTATGGGCATTTTTGATTATCAACGTATGGTCAATACATCTCAATTGCATACATTTCACTGTCTTAGTATAGGATCATGGTTCGTTAAATTCCGTAGCTCCATAATGTCGTTGTTGTTAATTCTCTTGGGCTATCATGTTTGTGATGTTGTGGAGAGATATGAATGTAAAACAACACTCACATTGAATTCATGGAGAAAGTTTCCATAAGATTTCATTTCAAAAAACTTCAGCATCACTGTTAGAAAACATTGAATTTCTGTACATTACTTTATTTTGTAACATTTGTAGTTTCATGCTAATCGGTATGCATATTCGCATATTAGAAAAATCTGAATAATAAAATATTAAAGTTTTAAAATTAAATATTAGATTTTGAATAAAAATTACTGGCGTTATCTCAACTAATTGCCAAATAAATGTAAATTAAATTAAAAACCATCTACAAAAATACAATTTTGAAATATGGCAACTGACTGCTAATAAATAGTGTATAAACATATAATTAAAGCGATATGTATTATATTCATATATGTGTGTACGTACACACATACATTCTGACATTATCTACTTAAGATATTAGAAAATTAGGCTTCGAGTCATGACGTCTGTATGTTTGTCTACGTCATTGGCTAAATCATAATATATCACAATCATATGGTGGCGGCAGACACAGTCAATTATGTATAAATAAATTTCAATTTTGAGAGTTTTCATAGATAAAGCAATTAATAAGATAAAGATTTAAAAGATAAAAAAAATTATTATCAACCATGTGCAATTGTAAATTGAGACAGTGATATAGATATAATGGAAATTTACGTCATTTTAATATCCTCAGATATGGATTAAAAATATCTACGAAATAGTGTGTGTGTTTAACCATATTTAAATACTATTCGCCTAAGTATTACTCTTCCAGAGAGACTAGCACTCGTCAATATAGGTGTGAAACAAGTAGTTACATCGAGACGGAGATTGAAATTGGACATGTTGTCTTCATTGTTATACTATCCATAATCATCTTTTGAATTTGAATAGCAATTATTGGGAATATGAAATATTTAAACCATGTACTATAAAAACAAAAACATATGTGGAAGTTGGTTTTTGATTACATTCAGATCAGAAAATGTATAAATTAATTGGGAGACAGGAAAACTTTAATTGATATTTTTTATGTTATTAAGAAATACATCATTTGTTCAATTTTTTTACACAATTTTCGAATATTTTCCTCTGATATCCTTTTGTATTGTGAATTATTTTGTAATGTTTATATCCGTGTGTGTTTATTTGTTTTTGTTATGTTTACTGTGTGTGTGTGTTTGTTTTTTATCTTGGTATCTAATTATTGCTTAATGACCTAATGATTACCCACTATGAGAGACATTATTATTGTTAGTACTACCTGATGCTGTGCTAGCATTGCCCGTTTGATGTTGTTGTTCCTCAATTGTGGGTGTAGGTGGTTGGTCGCGTCGCGGAGGCATACGTTCATTAACCGCATCTAAGCCTTTGGCTTCGGCAAACGAGGTGATTTTGTGATTGGGCGAGAAACCCTGCATGGCATTTTTCAACGACTGTTTGCCACCCGACAATGCACCCAATGGCAATGCTCCGGTTGGCGTAAGACCCTTCAATTGCAACACCGACTCAGATTCTTCACGCAATACCGAAAAGACACGTGCCATCTTGCCAATGGCACGTATTTTATTGCGTATGACTTCTTTCCGCAGGGCGGCCTCATCATCCGATAGGGGTTCTTCACTTTCCTCTGTCATCAGTTCATCATCGGAGCAAATGTTCAAAACATTCACTAACATCTCGGTTACCTTCTCGCCCACAAAAGGCAGCGACCAAGTGAATACATCCATAAAATTGGGAAGCCAATAGGGATGGGGCGAGCAATTGAATTGGCGTATATTCATGACATTGTTCTCGTATTTTAAAACAGCCGCTTTGTTATTGTACACATCCAAGTAATTTGGTGCCGAGAAGATCGTAATGAGTGAGGGGAATCCAGTCGTCTGGCTCTTCCTGTACATGCGATAACCAGCATCTTGCGCCTCATGCGCCCTAATTATTGAAAGTAAGTTGTTATTCTGCAGAAAGTCACAACAGGCTGCATAGCTATAGAAGTACGAACAACCTCGTACCGAATTGTGCGTATAAAAGTCGGCATTCTTTTCATTGCCGAAATCTTCCAGCGGATCGGACCACAACAAATCACACATGGGTCCAAAGGCAGGAGGTTCCTTAAAACGATCCAATCTTCTTATGTCATCCAGTTCGTGTATTTCAGGCGACAGGCCGCCGTGCACGCACAAGAATTGCTGATTCATTAATGCGGCCAAGGGCAGGCAGTCAAAGGCCTCCATACAGGTGTCATATACACGTTCAGAGTATTTTATTTTGCATTCCTGCTTAAACGTGAAGTACTCGGTTAGATGACGGCATTCATGATTGCCGCGCAATAAGAAAAGCGTATTGGGATAGGTAATCTTTAGAGACCACAAATAGAGAACACACTCAATGCTGAAGTAACCTCGGTCAACGTAATCTCCCAAGAAAAGGTATTTTGTGGTAGCGGGCGAGCCTCCTACCTCGAACAACTTCATGAGGTCGTAGAACTGGCCGTGAATGTCACCACACACTGTAACAGGGGCCTCTATATCGATCATTGTCTTCTCCTGGCGCAGCAAAGCCGCCCCCTCCTGTATAATTCGTAGTGCTGGTGCCTCTTCGATGCGTCCCTCTAGAATGAAATGCTGTTTCAACAACTCATGATTAGGTTTACCTGTGCGTGCATCCGGAAACACCTCTGACATGGTCAGTTTATGACTAGGTGGAAATGGCACATTGTCGACAACACGGTCTGTCGTGTTGGTCGTGGGTCTTAAATTACTGCGTGTTGGACTGTCTGGATTTGACTGGCCTGTAGGTGTTTGCTGATCGGCACTTGTGGATCCTTGACCAGCTGCACTTTGGTTGCCTTGCGAGGCAGATGTTTGATTATTCGAAGACATAATTCCTTCCGCAAACAATTAAATCGAACAACGACGTACACTGCTGTATGAATTAGCTACTATGTGTTACACCAACAAAACAACACCTCAAACCAAATTTTCGTACTTTTTCGACTACTCCACCTCCACCTCAACTCACAAGAAAATCTTCGTTTTTTCTCCTACTTCTCCTTCACGCACTCACTCTCACCACCTTTTTTGGAGTGGAAGCACAGCAGCAGCTATGTATTCACTGAACAATTAATGTTTCTTCCAAATAATTTGTTTTATTACCCGCCTTTCGGAGTCTAATCGGTTTCTGTACTTGTTAACTTTCTAATAGCTCAGCTGCAAATAGTTTTGAAACCACCTCCTCTGCGTTTTTCTGTATTATTTATTTTTTTGCGAATATCCAGCAAAAATGATGATATTTCTTCTCCTCGTCACTTTCTCTCTCTCGCACAAATTTTTTTGCAGACAGCAGGTTTGCAAAAAAATTTAAATTTTTATTTGTTTCGTTTGTTGTGTTTCACTTCAACTTATGTTTATCATTGCGTACGCGTTTTGTCCCTAAATTGTCATACAACAAGCTGATAATTTTGGTTTTTTAACTATTATTAACTTTAATCATCGGTATTTTTCTGTCCGATTTGCGAGTACGAAGTCGTTATAAAGCTATTGTCGGCGTTAGTCAAATTTGCATATTTTCTCAAAGACATGCAATCGTAAAGTCTTGACAAGACGCATTTTCCAATATTAGTGTCAAATTTGTGCTATAGAGGGCTACACATTTGAATGGAAAATGCACTATTTGAAGTGCTCTCACCAAAAAAATACTTAACAGCAATAATTATTTTGAAAAATATGGTAACCAAAGTAAAGTTTGAGATTGTATGAAATTAAATTATTATTTTTTTGCGTGCTTTATTTGAATTATTTAAATCAATTGCCGTGTTCCCCTGCCACCGTTTATCTTTTACAGTCGTGACCCCCTTTGTCATGGGTGTAACGGTCGAAAATGGTATTGTGAAAGTTGGTACATTGACTTTAACTCTGTATACTCTAATGTAGATTTTTGCTTGAGCGTAGAACAAAAAAATCTAATATTATTGTATTTTTAAATGAGTAGTAAAACTTAATAACAAACTGGCTGTTGAAGTAGATTCTGTAGCTGGTTTTTCTATTCCACTCTCAAATCCCATCATGATTCGGATCATGGTGTGTACGCGATCCCTACGTAAGGGGAGGTCGCCCCCTCGGTCGGCAGGGGTGGGAATGAGAGGCGTGTAAACGTCGAAAAATAAAAAAAAATCGAAAGTTATATAGGGACTTTGGTACACCATAAATCTGAACCGATTTTCTTCAATTTCAATAGGGTTCGTCATTGGGCCAAATAAGTGCGCTGTGCCAAATTTCATCGGATCATAAATGCGACCTGTACTTTGTTTACAATTTAACATCTACAGACGGACGGACATGCATAAATCGACTCAGAAAGTGTTTTTTGCATATTCTCAAAAGGAACCATATGTATATCTCGTTTCCTTTCGCCTGTCACAAACATATACACAAAGTCATAATACCCTGTACCACAGTGTGGTGAAGGGTCTAATTAGAGAGGAACAACGTCAGAACATAGTATAATGCAATATGCGTATATTTGAACCATTTGAGATCCGTATTACAACACATAATCTTATTATATAGTGCACAAAAATTCGCCTTGCACATTGTGGAACACATCATATATATTTCCCAAATGTTGCCAGCCATATAAATTGTTTTTAAACTCTCTAGGTTTTTTCTGACATTATTCCATTGCATTTCAGAGAGTAAAAAATTTTGTTCTCTTTGTAATTGACAGAAAATGTTGTTACGATATCGTAACCAAGATCTATTAAAAAGGTCACCAAGATAGCAATCGAAATCGGAAAACAGCTGTTTTTTCTCAAGTCTAATGTCAAAAATGTCGACTTTGTTTACGTTTTCATAATGGAAGTCAATTTACAATAATGCACTTTGACAGCAAACTTAAGAGGTATCAATTATCAGCTGGTCTCCCTAGGCGACCTTATTTATAGGCCATGATCGTAACAACAGTGCAAAAGCCATCTAACGGCCAACTTGAAAATTCAATTGTCCTATCTTTATACTTTTGTGTCTTTGACCGAAAGCTGGGACTGAATACATAGTTCTTTATAAAGAAAGTTCGATATATCCGTAGTTCGCTATGAGAGTTAAGATTTGTATGAAAAAGCTGTCTTTAAACTACGGGCCCAGGAAATGTGTTCGCTATAACCGGTGTTCGCTATAAGCGTACTCGACTGTATTTTTTTCGATATCATAGTCAAAAGTATATATTTGTATATATATTTATATATTTGATTATAAATATATATTTAGTGGAAACATCGGTTATATGTTATATACCTTCTGTTAACAATTTATAAGAGAAATAAATGTTCCAGAATATACATATAATAATATTCGAATACATATAATAATATTTTTATTTAGACGTTGTATTCAATATATTATTAAAATTTAAATAAGAAAAATGGTTTTAAAATTTTGAAAACAAAAATAAATAAATAAACAGTAGATGTACATATAATTTCAAGTGTCGGGAGCAAACACAAACAAAAGATTATGTATTGAAAAAATATCAAGTCTCAATAAATCAATCAACCGTAAAAACTGAACATTTTGTACAATGGTATATACACTACTATAAATCATGAGTATCGTGAGTAATCGGTATTCACTTTTACAATTTTCATGAACTAGGCAACCCTGGATATTGTTCACCATTTGACAGCCGTATGAAATGTCACCCGCAAGAGTTTTGACATTATTCGTCATCTCAGCCTGAGAAATACTAAAGTTTTGTTTTATCGTGCAAATTAAATAAAAATAAAAGCATTTGCCTAGACAATAAATAATAAAATACTAAAGAATAGTTGAAATAAATTTATGTGACTGAGCTCCAGTGGTTTCTTGATACGAGAAGAAACTACAAGTGCAAGAACACACCTTAAAAAAGTTTGGCAAACCGAAAAATATAGAAGCAGAAGTCGGTCGCCAGCGGCAGAGTGGGTGCAACGCAAATAAGCAAGCAGAAGCAGTAGCAGCAGTAGGAATATCAAGTGTTTTCTTTAAAATGGATAGCAAAGGACGCAATGTTATAGTTTGCGACAATGGTACCGGCGTAAGTAGACAACAAACATGTAAAAAATGGAAAAGAAATAATGTTCTTCGCAGGTATAGTATCTGTTGAGTGTGTGTGTCACAGCACACAGAAGAGGATTAGCAAACAACAAGAAGAGGAAATAGGCAGACAAAATACCAGTGACACACTTTTTCAATTGTTTTCTGGATATCGAATAACATTTTAACATGTTGCCGGGCATATGCAGAAGAAACATATTCTTCGTTTGTAATGTGTTTGGGAATAAATTTCCTGAAGTCGTTGCAATGATTTTTTTTAATTTTTGTGCAAAGACCACCACCCAATACTACTCAGCCTTTATGATGATTACTCATACCATGAATGTGTTTTTGTTTTGTTATCTTTCTTTGAATTGCTTTATTGTTGTTAGTGTTAGATGAAGCCTTATCGTGCAACAACAATAATAACTATTATTGATTTTTTGGAATTAAAAAAAAATAATAATAATAATAATAATAATAATAATAATAGAAAAGAGAAAAGGGACTAGATATTCCGGAAGATTAGAAATAATAACTAAGAAGTATTCCTAAGGGAAAACAAACAAAAACAAGTTCGGGAGACAGAATTCCATGTTATATACCCAAGTTTGTTGTGGTAGCAGATATTTCTTCATAATCTCCTCAACCTATGTCTGCTTCTAACTCCAAACTCTGGAAGGCTGCGACCTATATCTGTTGTGTCCAAAATGAAGATAGGGTTAGGTGAGTGGGTTTATCTGGACAGTTGAATAGATGTAGCGTGCCATGGGGAACATTACCATATGCTGGGCAGATATTACCGTCCTCGCCATCAATTGGTGCCCAATATGAATTGAGGCGGCCACACAATCCTGATCTTAATTGCGGCAAGACCACTCTGGTTTGTCGAGGTTGCTGCTGCTCTTATGCAGCTATCGTGGGCGGGTGTTCCCCGAGTATTGTATTCACAAGTACATGTTTCAAGTTTGTAGTTTATAGTGCCATAAAATATGGCAGTTATGGAATTCCAATGTACAAATTGTTATACTTAGTTGTTGGTCCAACCAAAGTTTGGTTATTTAGTTGGCAAAAACCCAGTTTCCCATGTCCTGATATTTAGAAATTAATTTAAATGAAAAGAAATTCTGTTTGCGTAGTCCAGTTTTCCATCTATCTACTGATGGGGCTACTTTTGGTAAAATTATCAAGCATTTCTGCAGACCTTGAGCCCACATCATACCTTGATTGTCTTAAGAGCATGTTAAACTTTGAACATTAATTCAATTTCTATTCAAATCAGATTTTTATATCGATTAAATCCCCTCTCCATAAGTCAGATCGATCGGAAGACGTTATTTACTCACAATATAGTCTTTTGGAAAGGGTTTCCGAAGCAGTCTTGATGTTAATACTATTTTAATACCCGATTTAGATTATGAAATCTATCAGAAATTGGTATTCTACACCTTTGTTGTAAAATGTAAATGGAGATCAGCGCTAAGGTGCAATTCCAAGATAATGGCACCACCGGATATAGTAGTCCTTCGGTCCATATATACTCGCATCTTCTAATTACAAGATCTAATTAATTACAATAGGCGTGGATTTTTTAAAAATATTTGTCAAGTAATTACAATGGTCGTGGATGTTTAAAATTTTTTTGAGGCCCTACAAAAGGTGCGGATGTTTTAAAAATATTTTTTATGTAATTACAATAGGTGTGTATTTTTTGAAAATGTTTTTTGGGGTTCTGCAATGGGCGTGGATTATTTAAAAATACTTTTTTGGGATTCTACAGTGGGCCTGGATTTTTTTTAAATATTTCTTTGGGTTTCTAAAATGGACGTGTATTTTTTTAATATATATATATATATTTTTTTTTTTTTTTTGAAAATAATATTTAATGCTTTTTTTTATTTCAGTTTGTTAAATGCGGTTATGCCGGTAGTAATTTTCCCGCCCACATATTTCCCTCTATGGTTGGCAGGCCAATCATTCGTGCTGTAAACAAAATCGGCGACATTGAAGTTAAGGTAAGTTTTCTTCAACTAATTCAAGTCTCATATAAAAAAACTTTTTCTCACTACTCTATAGCATTTCATATTGCTATTTTCATTAGTTTAGTTTTGTCAATTATTATCTTATACATATATATCAAAAAAACAAACAAAATACATTATACAAATCTCTTTTTTTTCGTTCTTCTTTATTTATATGTAAAAAAAATAAATATTAAAAATACAACTTGTTTTGGATAAATCTGTTTTTTGAATATTTTTACAGGATTTACACGTTGATGTAAGTCTATAGTCTCCTAATTTCAATTATAAGCCAATTATCAAATTTGTTTCTTTTTAATTTTGTTGCCTTTGTTTGAACGATTTGATGAAATAGTTGTCCGTTTCTTTGTACTAACAACCTTTTGCCACTACTAAAGAAAACAAGTTAGCTAAATAGACGTTGTGTTATAGTTTATTTATTTAATCGGTATTTCTAATGTAATTCCTTTTTTGTTGTTGTTTCGAAAAAAAAAACGATTTTCTGCATTAATATTTGATTCCTTCTTTGAATGCTTATTATATAAAGTGTGTATTTTTTTAATTTTCACGAATGTTTGTTGTTCCAAAATTTATTTTTTTATTTATTCTCTTTAATTACTTTATATTTTCTATTTGATATATACTAACACAAAAATTCTCTTGAATGCATGTTGATTTCATATGTGATTTCGATTTAAATACATTTTGCAATAAAAGCTGTGCTATAACTTGAAATATGCATTAGGTATAACAACTGTAAGAAGTCGTATTTAATGACAAATAATATCCGCATATGCAGGTTCTGAAATAGACATTTTTATAAAGAGAAAATCGGAAACAATTTCGATTAGTTCGGAGGTTTCTGTTCGTTAACTGAAAAACATTGACCCAAATTAATTGAAAAACTGGGCTGGAGGAGCTGTCACAGCTTCGGTGGAAAAAGCCGACTGAAGATTTTTAAATACCGAAAATGGGACAACACCTGTATATGTGGGGGTTATATCAAAAAATTTACCTTTTTCGAAATTTTTAATTGAAACACTGGGCTGGAGGAGACTGTCACAGCCTCTTCAGTGGGAAAAGCCTACTAAAGCTTTTTTAAATACCGAAAATGGGACAAGACTTGTATATGTGGGGGTTATGTCAAAATATTTACCTATATACAACATTTTCTGCTGATATATATATTTTTTACTTCCAAGAACACGGAATGGCAAATTACACACAGTTGGAAAATCAGTAAAAAAAACTGGTCCGAGAACTTGAACATAGATAAAATTAAAAGGAAAATTGAGACTATGTAAAAAACAGGGAGTTATGTTGAAAATTTATCAGAATGTCAAACTGCTAACAGCCTCTTCGGTGGAAAAATGCAGTTAAAACCTCGAAAATACCGAAAACGCAGCTGGAACTTTTATATGAGTTATATGTGAAAACTTGGACCTGTATCAAAAAATTTCTGCAAAGAACCAGTATTGCCAAATTGACAGCCACTTCAATGTCAAAATGCGGACTAAGTCAGAACATTGACCTATATAGAAAATTTCAAAACTCTATTTAAAATATTGTGATTTCTATTATGATTTAAACAGACAAATGGACATGACTAAATTGCCATAAAATGTTTTGCCCGGTCAAATATCTTGTTTCTAACAAAATGACAAATAAAAGATATACTAATGTTTCGGGGGATAGTAATTCGGTTTTCAGTAGAAAGAAAACACCTTAATAACTCCCAAGATTTATTCATATTTTCCCATTCCTATAACTTTCTGTATCTGTTTTTACTTTCAGTTTTTTGTATTTTTTTTTAAATTTTACGATAGACTAGCGTTAGGAATAGCCTCTATAATTTGAATTAAAAGAAAAAGATTTACTGCACTTTGCTATTTATATCTCAGCACCGAATAGAAATATATTTAGAAATTACTTAATAAAATTAAGACATAGCTTAGCTGCCTCAGCTTAGATAAAAAATAAAAAAAAAATTGTTGTTAGTGTTTGCTTTTATTTCAAACCCTTTGTTATTAATTCCTTTTCTTTTATACATATTTTTTTAATATTTTGATATGTTATTTTGTTGTTATTTAGAAAATAAATATTATCACTAATCACACATATTTAAATTTTGATATATATAATATGACATACTTTTAGGATTTAATGGTTGGTGATGAAGCATCACAATTACGTTCTTTATTAGAGGTATCATATCCAATGGAAAATGGCGTGGTACGAAATTGGGAAGATATGTGTCATGTATGGGATTATACATTCGGGCCAAAGAAAATGAACATCGATCCAACAAATACAAAAATATTGCTCACAGAACCGCCAATGAATCCCTTGAAAAATCGTGAGAAAATGATTGAGGTAAAATAAAAAATAAATGGGAAAATATGAAAAAATATGTATTAAATATTATTCCTATTTAACAGGTCATGTTTGAAAAATATGGCTTCGATTCAACCTATATTGCTATACAAGCTGTTCTTACGCTTTATGCTCAAGGTTTGATATCCGGCGTTGTCATAGATTCGGGTGATGGTGTTACCCATATATGTCCGGTATATGAAGAATTTGCACTGCCACATTTAACAAGGCGTTTGGATATTGCCGGTCGTGATATTACACGATATTTGATTAAAGTAAATATACATTTATTTATTTGAAGCAACCAAATATTATGTAATGTTTATTGATTTTATAATTACAGCTACTCTTGTTACGTGGCTATGCATTTAATCATTCCGCTGATTTCGAAACGGTACGCATGATGAAAGAAAAACTCTGCTATATTGGCTATAACATTGAAATGGAACAAAGACTGGCATTGGAAACGACAGTATTGGTGGAATCATACACCCTACCCGATGGTCGTGTGATAAAAGTTGGCGGTGAACGTTTTGAGGCACCCGAAGCCCTCTTCCAACCCCATTTGATTAATGTTGAAGGTCAGGGTATTGCTGAATTGGTATTCAATACAATACAAGCGGCTGATATTGATATGCGCCCTGAGCTATATAAACATATTGTTTTGTCGGGCGGTTCAACAATGTATCCTGGTTTACCTAGTCGTTTGGAACGTGAAATTAAACAATTGTATTTGGAGAGAGTACTGAAAAATGACATTGATAAATTGGCGGTAAGTATTGAAGGAAGAATTATGTGCGAAATGAATATTTGTCAAAGGGCTTCATAAAATTTACAACAATTTTGACAACGAAATAAGCTTAAAGTCACCATAGCGATTATTTTGTGTAGAAATTTTTTGGTGGACAAATTTATGTGTTAAAGAGTTGGGTCTTAATTCTTATAAATTACATCTTTATCGTTGTATTTTTGCTAATTGGACCCTTTAATGCGTAACATTACCAGGAATAATAAAAATTCAAAAATAATCTTGAGTGATGAGGACCGACTATTTCCATCTAGGTGTGCATGTCAAGAAACAAAATCCCTGCGACTGCTTAATTTATTGTCCATCGCCAGACGTTACTTTTTCCAAAATGAGGGGGAACATCTGAAGAAGAACCTGCTAAAAAAATAATAATTTCTACCACTTTTTCCAATGTCCCATTGGTCAAATTCGATAGCCTTTAACTCAACACCATCGTCTTGGCAATACTGATTGGATCACTTTCCGGATCATATTATTTCTCGAAGAGGAGTTCACAATTGGCAAATTAGACCTTAGGATTTAACACCATGTGACTTCTTCCTTTGAGGCTACGCGAAAACAGTTAATCGTCAATTCAAGCTTTGCTCATTCGAAGAGCCAAGCTAAATGCTATCGGATGTGTTTATTTGGGAGCTGTGAATTCAATGAGCATTTCAAGGACATTCAGCGGTTTTTGGGGGAGAGTCTCAAAGTAGAAGTCCCCGTCCCTATGAACCCAAGATCGACGATGAGAAAATGGGAGCCCTTAATAACCAATCCCTAGGTCTTGGGTCACCTCCTTCCTAAAGTATCTCCCTGACGCTGGGGTGTTAGAGGACCTTGTTCTCATTAGTGTATCACGGTTTGTAAATACCCTGATTTACTGTATTCGAAAGGAGCCCTGTTGATACCTGGGTGCCTCAAAGAGTTTTTAAGGCTTGGTTGCAATGTACAGTATTGTTTGAAACCTAAGCAACTTTTTCTTAGTAAGTAATCATGGTCTTTTATTATCTTGTTAAATTGAATTATGAAAAGTACTTATTTTATTAACTATTACATTATACAGTCGACACTATACAGTCGACTCCGCTTTATTGAAACGGAAAAAAATTGGATTTTTGAACTGAAAATAATTTCAGTTATCCGAACTCATCATAAGCGAAACATTTTTTACTTTTACGAATTTCAATAATCTCTATATCATAGCGAATATGTATGTTTCGATTTTTTTAAGAAAATAGACGATAGAAATTAAAACTGGTTAACATGTTCACTGCTTATGGGAATTTTATTATGACCAGTAAAACTTATGAACTTGTAAGGAAATCCATCGTCTGCCTGTTACAATCGTAAGACCTATCTTAAATACAACGTTTGATTTTAAGAACCTAAAATATCGGACGATTTTAAGTCTTTTTAACAGCTGGCTAAGCTGTAATAACCAATATGAGGTTGTAAATGAGTATAAACTTCCTTGCAAAACTTGACACCAGACCTCAATCCCATTGAGAACCTTTTCAGTATTTTAAAACGAAAGATTGGTACACGTCGCTTTAAAAACAGACAGGAACTAATGAACTGCTTAAAATCAGAGTGGGAAGCTATACCAACAACAATTCTAACAAATCTTATAGAATCAATGCCAAAAAGATGTGCGGCAGTGATAAAAAATAAAGGGTATCATACGAAATATTGAAAGCTGTTTAAGTTTCGAACAGCTGCTTTGTGAGTTAATATTGTTTTCATTTCTTTATTTTTTTTTTCAAAGAAATATAATTTAAATTTTTTGTTATTTTCAGATTATAGACACATAGTATAATAGTAAATAAAATATATATTTTTTATAAATCAATTTAACGATATCATATAAGTCCATGGCTACGAACTAAGAAAAAGTTGCTTAGGTTTCGAACAATACTGTATTTACCATGGTATGGGCTGTGTCATGGTCGACCTCAAAACCTAACTACCACACACCCCTCCGAAAAATTTTCTCAAAATTTAGAACTCAAATGGTAGTATCCTGAATTTTTAGCATGAAAATGGGTCGAAATTGTCCAAAATGCCGAAAAAATAATATCGATATAATATTTGTTTAGGTGTTAAAAAATCCGCCACCAAAGTCTCCACAGAGAGTCAAGATGAACAGAGAGGTTCAATGATATAAAAGGGAGCTTTATCCAATTATATAAAAGAGAGCCTTTATATCAAGCAGACCTATTAAGCATATCGCATTGTAATCAATTGGATGCAGTTGAAGAAGAATACGTGGTTAATACACCTTTGGAGAACACCCACCACCGCATCTTTGGATAACACCCACCACGTAAATGGTGTAACTTAATTCACTTTGGGCATGACGCATAACATCTGCATTCGTTGTAATGATCCAAATGATACGGTTCACCTTTTTAATTGTCCACCCCAAAACCACTACCTATTGAGCTGTTGAGACATAACATATTTTTTTTATTATGTACATCGATTTTTATCTATCAATTTCAATTTTCTTTTCACTTCTCATTTTTTTTTACAGAAATTCAAAATTCGCATTGAAGATCCTCCCAGAAGAAAAGATATGGTATTCATTGGTGGTGCTGTTTTGGCTGAAGTAACCAAAGATCGTGATGCCTTCTGGATGTCGAAGCAAGAATACGAAGAACAGGGTATTAAAGTATTACAGAAATTACAAAAAGTAACAGCCTGAAAACGAATGTAATTCGTGTTTAATTTGAAGAACACACAAACAGACATTACATGAAAGAACGTAAAATTCCACACAAAAACCACATAATAAATAATTATTGATGAAGATGATGGCAAGAGGAGTTTATGAGCGTGTAACACAAGGAGGTGTTTCTTTTAAAGGCACCCAGCTCGACATCAACAACAACACTATACTACTAAAGAGAGTCATTAAACCAACAACAAAATTATGCTAAGTTGCTAAAGAAACAAAAAAATAAAAAAAACACACACAACACATAACTTTCCAAAAATCTTCCATACCAAAACAGCTTTGTAATTCTAAACAACAACAAAAAAGTATCTTAAAAATGCTGTTCTTTATCTAAATTATATTTTTGACTTAAGTCTTTGTTATTTTTCTTGTATACTTTAAAACATAAAAAACGAAGAAGAGTTCCGTCTCTAACTCTTCATTTAACACCACAATATTGTTATACAAAAAAATGTATTTTCTAGAGTTTAAATTGTTTGTCTTCAGTTTCTAAGAAAAAAAAAAAACAAAAATGCATTTATGTCAATATCCCCCTATACCCTATGCTATCTAGTATCTTCCCCTCCTCCAAATATTTCCTTAACTCTTATTACCTATGCTGTTTTTGTTTTATAATTTTTACAAGTGTACGATACATAGATTTTTAACGACATGTTTATTTAATTTTTTATTTGCAAGTATTTTCTAGTATTTTTATTAAAAACAAAACCCATTAAAAAACTAATCTAACAAAATAAATAACATTCAGTTGTAAGTAAAAATTAAAATTTTTTTAAATAAAATACAAAAAATATTTTGGTATTTTTTCCAGAAATCATTCCATATCAGTTTTTATTTCTTACCACCAACCCCAACCATACACCGCGCAATTCATTTTCATCCCCTCAATTGAGAAAAAAAAACACTTGTTAGTCAGCAATTTCATGCACGATTTGATTTTTTTGGTTTTAGTTGGACAATGTTTTTTATTTAATTTTTTCCATATATAAATCGACACATTTTTTATATACATATATACTCTATAGTTAGCCAAACCATATTTTATAATATGAAAAATTAAAATAAAAAAAAAAAAAAAAAAATAAAAGATATTTGACACAAAAGAAAAAAACTAAAACAAAAATAAATCCAAATAAATGAAATGCATTTCTTTTGTTCCTTTGGTCAAGAGGTAATATTTTCAACATTTTTCGTTATTCACATGGGTCTTAATGGGATCTTCATCTGACTCCGAAACAATAACCTCACATTGTCCATTTAACATATCGACCAACTTTGGTTTGAATGTCTTCAGGAAACCTCTCTCCGAATTACTGTGATTACATAAAATTACCGAAATGTTTTGATGATTTGCATCCAAGACATCATGATGTGACATTTCACCGGTTATATAGAGGTCAGCTTCAACACCGCGCAATAGAGATGCTCCAGAACCTGCACAAACAGCTACCCGTTCAATGTTCGTTGCGGGTGAGTGTTCAACACCCATTGCAACATGAACATCAAGACCGATGTGTTTTTGTACAGCCTTAATGGCATTTTCCAAATTGATTTTAGTCGAAAATATACGACCAGCGCCTACATTAGGATCATCGCAGTTGGCAAGGGGCTGTAAAGAAAAATGAAAATAAAAGTTTTTTTAATTGTATACTAAATTATCATGAAATCCTAACAGATACGTAAGAACAATTAGTGGATTTATTTAAAATAGGAAAAATTCAGGATAAAATAGGTATTAAGCGGATAACCTTTATTTTATAGAATCATTTGAAAATGTGAAAACCCTATTGAAATATTTTTACGAAATTTTCATGAATCCCGGCCAGATGGATTTTGAGGTTCTGCACCCAGGTTCCTCAAACCATCTAATGTAATAACCAATAGGTGGTCGTGTATAGATTGTTAATCTGTTGAGGTCGGGTGACTTTGATTTCTGGTTTTAATTCCCCGCTCGTTCCTATGAAGTTATTGCATGTGTAAAGTGCTCTCCTCTCTTAGGTAACATTCTACATTGCCGCGTTAATTTATGGCTGAGGAATGTTCCGAGTTATTTGGCTTCTAATGATAGTTCCAAAGCCATCCCATTCAAGATAGGTAGAGGTAATGTTGGGATTTTACATTTCTTAGTGAATACTACAAATTCAGTTTGACCCCAAGGCCATTGAGTTTAATAGGGCGTTCTTGAAGCGGTTCGATCCTTTTAGATTGGTCCACTTTTTGATATAGCTCTATATAAGGAAACAGGGTCTACTATGGGTCGATGCAATTTTGCTCCGTTATAACTTTTATTCCTAAACGATCAATTTGTCCGATTGACATTGTTGTATCTGAAAACCTCCATAATTTCACTTCAAGTGTTTGAGGAAGACAGAACCACCGGGTTTCTAAATTTTGAACCGGATATTCAGGTAAACAAATTGAGAAGGAGTCTGCCAAAGTGGGTATGGCAGTAAACGGTGAGAAGACCAAATTGATGGCTGATGAATAATAAAACAAGCATGGGTACTTGCGCAAACAGATGAGGCAGTTCTTGGGGTGTTTGAAAGAAAAATTCTCCGAAAGATCTACGGGCCGATCTGCGTCGACGGTGAATATCGGCGTCGAATGAACCACGAGCTTTACAATTTATATACGGACATGGACATAATCAGTCGTATTGAGCTGCAGCGACTACGGTGGCTATGAATGAGAATGAATGAAATTGCCCCAGCTCAAAAGGCATACAAAACGAGCCTACTGATCCTTGGAAATCCTTTTAAGCTCAACTTATGGAACAACCGTTCTGTAACAAGCCTGGTGTGTCGAGTTGAAAAATGCTGTGTATAGGGCAACCCTGCAGACACTAGCAACTCGCAATGCTAGAGAGAATTTTTTGGAGAAAAGGAGAGTGGAGAAACGTATCTTCAAAAGAAAAATGAAGAAAAACGCGAGCATGAGCAAATCTAGATGTACAGGAGTCAGAATGAAGTCATGAAATTTTACCAACGAGTAAAACTCCAAATCGATGGACCTGGTTTGAACCGGCACATGCTCCTGGAGAGATGAAGAAGGAAACCTGGTGACACATACATACATCCTTGAGGATCTGGAAGGAACATTTTGAAGCCTCTGGTATCAAATAGTGGTGGTGAAGAAGATACCCCAGAACCAATAAGAGATGACTGTATAGAGTGTATATCACCTAGCCAAGATGAGGTAAGAATAGCAATTAATTGGCTGAAGAATAATAATGCAGCGGGTGCCGATGGATTATCAGCCGAACTATTCATGACCGGTGGTCAGACGATGATCAGGAGCATGCACCAACTGATTAGTACAATTTTGTTATAGGATTGCATGTCTAATAATTGGAACCTCGGTATCCTGTGTCCCGTGCACAAAATGGAAACAAGACTATATGTGCCAACTATAGAATAATTAATCACCTTCCCATCGCATATAAAAATCTATCCAGCGTGATGTGTGAACGACTGATACCAATGGTCACAGGGACGTACCCAGGGGCAGGTTATATTTATGAAATGAATGAAAATAAATTACCTTTTTCATTTCGAACCAGCACAATGTCAGCAGTTAAAGTCCGAAAGGACTTCTCGGAGCACTTCAATAACGAACAAGGATTTAGACAAGGTGACAGTTTGACCTTTTTAACTAACACCCTGTTGGAAAAGGTCACACGAGATGCAAATGTGAACAGAAATTGCACTCTACACCAAACGGCATATGTTACTCGCCTATGCCGACGACATCGACATAATGGGTCTAATATTACGAGCGGAAACAACCACCTTAGAACGAAATGAGGAATCCGCCAGAGTGGGTCTGGCAGTAAATAGCGAGAAGACTAATTAAGAAATTCAAAAACAATGTCACTTCTCGTCAGATCAATATCACACTCAATAAGACTTTCATCCCCAATATGAATTTTCCACTTCCCAGATCATGACTTGGATTTTGCCTCCCAGTGTAATCAATTATGATTGTAGAAGCCAATCATATGTGGAATTCAGAATAGCAATGTCGAATACCCGTAGAGTGAAACAGACAGTTCCCCCCAAGGGTGGTGTGATTTCTCCATAACTGCTTAACCTTTATCTTTCTTATATTTCACAACCACACCGCACGGCATATATATCGTAATGCATGCGGATGAGGGTATGATCATGGCTTTGATTCCCATTATTGATGCCATATGTCGAAGGATAACCATCTGATCCTTTGAGTTTCCTCCATATGTGAAATATGGAAATATGCGGCACCAAATCCATTATATTTACCGCCTGGACGACTGGAATGAAGTTCCCGCTGCATGTAATTCTCGAATGAGAATAGATTCCGACCTATAAATACCCCAATATATAGGGTGTAATGATCGATGGCGTCTTAAGTCGTCTGCGATAAGTCGCTGAAGACATTCAGATTTGCAAAAATGCCGCCCTCAGCATTGCAGCAGATTGTCAACTCATGACGCCTGTGGTTGGGAACATCCCTGTCATAGCCTATTGTACAGGCTTCCTCTGTCCTGTTATAGGGACCCCTAGCACTTTGAAAGTGGAACCAACTCACTGACGGTGCTGGCTAGATTTTGCCCCGCGTAAGCTCAGTCTGTGGGGCCGCAGTTCTTGTCTATGAGTTAGACCTGTTAGGGTGGACATAAAAAAAAAAAAAGAACAAAATTCTATTCTATTCCAGCGGATCATAATACATATAAACTCGAGATGATTCCTTTCACAACACAGCAGAGCACAAATAAAACTGACTCTGTGGGAGAATAGCCCACCCTCCATGGTATGCCTAGCCTAACCCCTCTCTCTAACGTTTCACTTCCACCACCTGCTTTAAATCTACGTTTCCTTAACTTTTATCCTATTACTCCTCCATGTGTAATATTTATTGATCATTACAAAATTTTATCACTTTCCAGGTTCATTCTTCTTCAGGTGATTTTGTGCAGAGACATGTCCGTCCGTTGTAAGAATATAAAAGTTTATATTCTTATTTAATTGTTTAGCAATTTCCCTTACTTTAAAGGACTTTTAACGATGAGGAACCTGCCTACCGGTGCCAGGCCTACGCGCAACCCCTATCAGTGGCGTAACCATAACCACAATCAAAAAATATAACAATTTTATAATATGTTCAATAGTTCCCTTGTTTTTTCTTTTTTTAAGGTTGTTTTGTACCATCTGTCCTTCCGTTAGATCTACAGAGAATACCTGAGCACCACAGGATCGAGTGGTGCACATGCTGATTAATTTGTTGATTGTATTTTTGTATTTTATGTACATTATAATGACAATCGCCGAACTTGTATCTTAAAAAATAAACCTTAATCAAATTCAAATCTTTAAAAATAGCATATGTTTGGGAACCTCGGGTTTTGTAGTTAAAGAGCAAAAAGGAACGACCTTTTCTTTTCATTAGGGTACCTTGGGGCGACTCCCTGTCAGGACTCCGAATACAATTTTGCCACATTCATTATAATAGAATTGCCAACCATCTTGTACAAATGTAATGAATAGGGCACACCACTTAATATGATTTAATCGACAAACCAAATCTATCGCTGTAAATTCTACTAGGTTAGACATATATATTGGAATGATTTGAAATCTCCAGAAAATTCATATCTCTCCTAAAACCACAACGGATAGTCCATGTGATGACTTTTTACTGTCAAAAGGCTGTAAAAGTTGTATGCAATGTAATAAATGAAGTAATGCTTTCTGGGAGAATCATGAGACTGTAATCCGGTCGCGATCGAAGTAGGATAAAATAATATAATTGTAATGGAAATACTTTATTATCAATTTCATTGGCTCTGTCGCTCCGTCGTCTAATTAATAAATAAAAAAATAATATTTTCAGCTACTGTTTATAAACAATGGTAGAAAATGGAGACGACCGATAATGGGATTTTCGGACTCAATAAAAAAAAAAACGTAGAGAAAATAGAAACAAACAACCGTTCAAATTATAAATCAATTGCAGTTATCAGAGGGTCAGTAGGCGATTGTTGTTGGCATTAGGAATATTAAATGGGAACAGAGAACAGTTTCTTTTGTTTGCAATTTGTTAATAATAGCCATGGCAGAATTTAAGATGGGTGGAAAGTAATTTTGATGGGTTGTTAGTAGTTGCAGCGACATGGAGGCCATAAGAAGTAAAAAAATCAGCTATAGGAATCTCGCAATTCTCCAATGGATGGTAGCCATTTTAATTTTGCATCAATGTTGCGGTGTAAAATCGGAGGGGGAGTATGGTAACATTGCGGGTCAATGGAAGGTACAATATGGTGGACCAAATGGTGAATCTAATATGGAAGCACTCGATTTGTGGACATCGAATAGCAATAGTTTGACTTTGGTGATCTACGATGTTGAACGGGGAACTGAAAATCAGGACGCCTTTTTTGAAGTCCATATAGAACATGAGAAATTGGCCAAAGTGGAAGAAAAACAAATCAATTTGAAAGATTTTCCCGATTCTAATAAATGGCAAGGAGAAATTACCGTTGATGGTTTACATTTTGGTTATACGAAATTATATGTGAAACTGGTTGATCCTGTAACCAGTCGCACGGAACGAAGTATACAAACTTTAGAGGTGATTGTGAGACGCACGAAACGAGTAGCGGATAATACCCTCACCTATACCGCAGCAGCAATAGCATTACTTATGTTTATTAATTTGGGTACCGTGTTGGATTTGAAACGTGTTGCAAGTATTTTTAGTCGGCCAATTGGACCATTGGTGGGTTTTTGCTGTCGCTATATTATAATGCCTGGACTGGCCTTGGGTTTGGGTGCTCTCATGTTCAAAGATGATAAGCGTCTGCAGTTGGCGGCATTTTTTACTGCCATCACACCGAGCGGTGGTATTGCCAATATTTGTAACATCTTCCTGAGGGGCAATGTAAATCTGTCCTTGGCCACAACCACAGTAAATAGTATTTTGGCCTTGGGTATGTTACCACTGTGGGTATATCTTATCGGACCGCTACTCTATCCGGACCAAAAATTTAATTTACCCTTTATCGATTTGGCTGTGGGTTGTGTTGGTCTGTGCGTGGCCCTAATTGTGGGGGTGATGTTACGCCGTTGCATACCCAAAACGACACGTTTTATTTTCCGCTTTCTCAAACCCTTCTCCGTAGTGCTGAGTTTATGTTTGGTAATATTGACCGTGGTTTTGAATTATTACATATTCGGGGAAATAACATTATTGGTAAGTCTGGATACACAAATATTGGAAATATTATATGTTAATCTCTCTCTTTTCCATTTACAGATCTTCCTGCTGTCGTTGTGTCTACCACTACTCGGTTATCTTTTATCCTTTACACTATCGAAATTGTTATGCCGCACAGCAACCGATTCTATGACCATAGCCATAGAAACGAGTGTGCTGAATATGACTCTACCCATTGTATTGCTGGAGTATACCATGAGTCAACCCATGGCCGATATGCTGATTGTTGTACCCATCACCTCAGCTTTAGTTTCTTTGTGTTTGGTTTTAATATTTTATATTGTGCGACGAATATTCGGTTGGAATCGCCCCGTGGATCAAGATTGTTTCGATGAAAAGGCATTCTTGGTGGAGAAGTGAGAAGGCGTGAATCTGTGATTTGCGTAGGATTAAGAATAGTTTTAGGCTAGTCTGTAAGAAGACGATAACGATGTTCAATTGAGATTTGAAAAAAAAAACAATTGGAATTCTCTCGATGAAAATAATACATTAATTTGATCATACTGGTATCGATGGCATTTCTCCGGTAGTAATTGACAATCATAATGCGGCGATATCAACGCAAGTGAGTAATCGACATCCTATTAAACAAAGACTCTTGGGAATTTGGGAGATCGGGTTGTAGTCGACTTGACCTTACTATAATGGATGTAATCGAATAAGTGTAATGCTTCAAATATTAGTTTGTGAAATAAGTCCGTTCGGCTGCCCAGCCGACTATATGACTACTGTGACGGGGGTTATGTTACTGCAAGAGAGCGTGCCCTCCCATCTCCGGGTCAATGTCGTCTTTGGAATATGAGACACCCCCCACAGCAACCTCTACATCAAACGCCATATATTTGCTGAACGAATAACACCATTAGCGGAAAATGTGGCTAGACCACCTGAAGCTTTGCAACATTGCAATCGTGACAAGTAATTCGCTCTCGAATTGTGGAAGGAAGGATGATAGAACGGCAATCAGTTTAAGCGACATTATGGTGTAAAATCCGAAGAGCTGTGCGAGTTTTTTAACCGGAAATTCATAGAGATCCCTGAGAGTGACAATGCACAAAGGAGTGTGCTTCGTCGTATAAGATCCCTCGAGGTGGCACCACCAGAATCTTTGAAGGATAATGTTGCAGATGTAATTCGAACGCTAAGTTATCCAAAGCATTGTTTCCGGTAATGGTTAAATAACTGGATAAACTTGGAGTAGAGTATTTAACAGCTGTGCTGAACCAGTTATTAGCCATCCACAATGTTCTAGAAAGCCCTGATTTGTATCAGAACCTAAAATGGATCTTAACCTTATTCATATGTGGATTTCAGATACAAGAAGTCTAAAGTGAGTGAAACAGAGAGTTCCCCAAGGAGGGGTTATTTAAGTCGAACGCGATAGTCATCAAGTCGCTTGCCGCCAGCTCTTGAGATTTGACTTCCAACAAAACAATAGGTCAGTCGATAATATTCCGGAATGTAATTCAAACCTGTCAGAATGCCACGCTGAGAACTGTGACATAGTGCCTTCTTTTAACACTGGTGGATCATTTACATAAGGAGGCAAAGGACTTATCCGTACATGGACACAGCAGAATGTTCTCGGTGTATTACCTGTTTTGGTGCTATCGCCGGAATCATCCATGCTATAAATTGGATAGGATTCCCACACCCAGGTACGTAAAGAGATAATTACACGATATAGGGAAATAGGTTCAGCGGTACCAAAGAGAATCACTAGTATTGATCCAGGCTATGGACCTATACCACGTGATTTCAGTTATGGGAGTCCACACACCGCCAATAGCGACTGGCTTGGCAAACGAGAGTGGTTTTGTTTCAATTAGTTTAACCCTTTGTGGCCCAATGTTGCCCAGAGACAACACGATATTTCAGAGCTTATATTTAATACGCAGCTGGAAAATTTATATTCTTTGGCTTACATATGTCAAGCCTTGTTTATGGACGACACATATCAAAAGAAAAATCTAAAAAAATTAAATTTTTGGTCAAGTTATACGCTTTTCAATATATGGATAAGTGCAAAATCGTGTACAGTACCAATTAGCGTATACAGTACAAATTATTTAAATCGCTTCGTATTCGAAATTAACGAATTGCTACCTCCAAATTATTGTTGAGTCTTGTAAAAAAGAACCAAAAGAATAATTTAAAGTGATTTTTTCGTCGATATCGCATTTGCTTTTCTTGACATTGGACTTTTATTTTTCAGAAAGAAGGTACTGCATCTCCCGAATGAGAGGATGTAGCAATGTCAAATTTTGTTCATACCCTATTTAGGAGAATTACATTAAATCTGTGCACAGAAAATAGTTCTATAGTCATAGGGTTAAGGATGGCCCAGTCATAGGGTTAATAATGGCCCAGCCGCTTCAATTCGAATTGACAGCACGATACCAGAAACATGATCTGCGTTTAGATTTCAACCTCACGATACGCTGTATTTTTCAACTGCCCAGCAAACCCCACTCATCTGTGTCCGGAATCTATTTGAATGCAGCCGATCCATGATTTCAATCTTATTCAGTATTGGGAACAGAGAAGTCAAAACCGGAACCAAATATATAGAAAGATGCTATAACACAGGATGCGGCGAAGGATTAAAATACGCTCCTTCTCACGAATACTAACGGCAAGAATTCGAATGTTTTCAATTTATCGCGAGTGATAAAGTTACAATGAGTGAACTAGCATTGGCAATCTCTCACGAATGTTCGATATTTCGCGAGCATTCATTGCTGAAGAGCGTCCATTTGAAAAACTCAAAAAACAAACAAAAATATCATAAAAAAGTAAATATATACAGCGAATGAATATGTGCGCAAAAGAAAGTGTTGGGCATGTGTGGAATAAAAAAACACATGCCCAACAACTACTTAATTTTGAGCATTCGCGAATGTTCGTTGTCATTGGCGAGCGAAAAGCAGAAATGAGCGATTAACCAACGCTAGGAACGATCGCTGTTGTGTGCTCGCATTCGTTTGTAATGTGCCTGCGAACATTCGTTTGGAGAATGCTCGATTAGTAAAAATATATAGCGATAAATTCAATCGCAAAATGAGCACTAAAGAAATGATTGTATTTTAAATCGTTCGCGAGCGAATTTTTGGGCACAATAGACGATCAAGAACATAAATAATTAATGGGGTATCCGTTGAATATTTCTAATCCAGTGCGTAATAAATCATCACTGGTTATCCATTTTAAATTCTAGGAAAGTTGTGGCGACTTTTCTGCTTAAGCAATGTAGGACGGCCAATTCTGACAATTTGTTGTCCTGAAGTCTTTTGAAAAATTCGAAGAACAATGACAGAGTCATAATGCGACAATGCGAGATCTCACATATCGGATCAAACAATCACCTTCTCAACCAGCTAAAACGTGGAATTGGAACTGCATTTTCCATAATTATGATAAAGTCTATAAAAGTCTAAAGTGTATAGGGTATTGTAGAGCTTACATAGCATTAAACTATAATCTTTATTGACACGTTTTCATATATATTTATGTCGTATAACTCTACTCCACTTAAGTGGCCATTGTTGCTTTTGTTTAGAAACGAAATGTGACCGATAAGTACCTACACCTTCACAAATTGTAAATATCTATAATAAATAAACAATTCTTAGCCTTCAAATCATACGATTAAAAAATAATAAAATTTTAGATAAAGACGTGCAAATCTAATGAAATTTATTATTTTGCCTTTGTCTGGGTCAGGTATACACGTTATCAATTATAATTACTATTCTTAGACGATAACTTCTAAGCAATTACTGGAGAAACTTTATTACAAGTGGTCAGTTTTGATAAAAAAAAGTGGGAACCAATTTTCATATTGAACCAAATCAAGTCATATTAAATAGTTTATATCGTTAGCTAAAATGCAAAAAGGCGTAACTAACAAAAAATTGAAAATTGACTTTTTGAATGAATATTGTGAATGTCAATAAACTACATGTGTTGACAAAGTTTTACACGTCTGCGGTCAAAAAACAAAAAGACGTAACTATAAGTGGGTTTATTTGATAAATGCAAAAAGGCGTAAATAACAACAAATTCAAATTTTTACTTAATTATTATGACTGCCATTAAACTAAATAACTAAATTTGTTAACAAATTATAGTCTATTATTTGTCATATGCAATATCACCCTGCCGGGCATACTTTTTCACATGACATACTTATAGTTTTCATTCAAAACAGTTCTTTGCTTCTCCTACACAATTATGCTTTTGTTAGTTACGCCTTTTTGTATTTTAGCTAACGATATAGAACTAAAATCAAAGTCCAGTATTAGCCATACAATTCACTGTCATTTTCAATTTGTTGACTAATCTGTTCTTGAACTTCGAATTAATTGACGCTACATGGAATGTACACATTTGAGTTGTGTTTGAAAAACATTTGAACGGACGCTTATAAATGTGCATTTTTTCTTTTATACGCGATTTATTTAATTTTTCGAACACAGAAACAACAAATAAACAGCACAAGCAAAGTCATAGCTTTAATCGTATTGAGCTTACAATTGTTAAACTATAAAAAAGCACACACAAAGCTACGTTTTATTTGACACATTGGAAATCGAGTAGATTGCGAGGCACACTACTATTTTTTCTTTACAAATAATTGATAAAAATATGGTTTGGCGTCTAGAGCGGCTAGAAAACCCGACAAAAATAAAGTTTTCAGTCCATTTCATCCCCAAAATATCATCTAAAATTATAGGCGTCTTCCTTGACCATAATCGGAACTTTAAATATTTACGTATAACTCCACTATCCGAATACATACCTACATCAATATCAAGTTAAAGGTCAACCACCCCTCTTGTATATACAGCCAACTTCTCTTTTATATGTGCTTCAGGAGTATACATTTACACCATATAGTACAAAGTTCGAAATTTTTCACATACAAATCCATTTGGCCGATCTTCATTAAAACGGTCATACTTATTCTGTTACAGGGTGTTAAAAATTGAAATTTTGGTCTGGTAGATTCCGTTCAGGAATTTTTGATGTTAAAGATGCACCTCGAACTGGTAAGCCGGTCGTCAAAAATGTAGATAAAATCCGAGAAATGATCGAAGTTGACCGGCATGTTAGCAGTCGTAACATCGTTCAGAAGCTAAAAATTGACCATAAAATTGTTTTAAACCATTTACAAAAATCTATTCTGATGAGGATCAGTGGTGAGATCCGAAACTATAGTCTTCCATGCCTTATCCCTCGGCGGACAATGCCAGACATTCCTCACTAATAAATAGTTGTTTTTTTATAAAAACAACAAACTGGGATTCAGCCTGACTATTCTGCAAAAATAAATAAATAAATGGATTTATTTTTCCCCA